TCCAAAAAACAGAGTGTACGACGTACACTTTGTAAGAGAAATTACTTCTTTCCTTCTAATATATTGAAAATTATTTTGAATTTCAAAAAACATGTTTTAACTATAGTGTAGAACACAATCTATCAATTAAAAGTTGTATCTATGTTTATTGAAATGATATGAACATTGTTCTAGTTTTTATTTCTTTACAATTTATGAAACTTCGTTTTTTTGTATACTTTGTCCTTATAAACAATGTGTAAATATATACATCTTGTATTATAGACTTCCAATAGAAAAATTGGTCACAATCACGCAGTTCATTATTCATCAAATTATTTGAAAGATTTGAGTAACAATGAAACTTCTATCTAATATTTTTTTTAAATATTATTTATTTTATATTCACTAAAAAAAATTCTAATGTGTAATATTTTACTCGGCAGTCGTTAATCATAAAAACGATTGTTGAGAAAATTTTCGAATAACATTCGAAACAATATAATTCGGATAGAATAGAAAGAAAATAATTATTACTTTTCATGTTGCCTACAATGAATCATTTGTTGATGATAGTGTTGAAATCAGAGCTAAAAAGAAAAACAATAGCAAATATAATAAGAAATGTTTTCGATAATATAATACGAAAATGACAATTTGGAAATTAATTATGTTGAACAATAAAGATTAATTGGCAAATACATTAGAGGAACACAACCAACTACTAATTGACAGATCCAAGCTAATCTGTTTAAATCATCGAGATACATATATGTTTATTGAGATAATAAAATAAATCACATCATATCATTCTTGTTACATTGGAAATAATGATCTTGAATGAAATAAAATCAATAGGATTGATTATATTTTAATGGTGAAATCTGAAATCGATTCATGTCAAAGATCATTTCTTCATTGTGACTCATGATGATATTCAGAGAATTGTTGTGAGAGCATTAAGATTAGGAGGTGAGTGTGAAGAAAATTTTCATATAAGATAAACTAAAAAATACTTCTAGAATGTTCTGTTAACTCTCAGAAGACCAGTTTTCAAATAATCGAAACTGATAGAAGATCGATAAAAAAACTCGAGTCAAATCTATAAGTTCTGTAATATAGAGAATGATAATGTAAATATTTTATATTTTAGCTTCATCAGAGGTTGCAATGGCAAGTTGTATTTTGAAAAATTTTGCGAATCTTAGATGGTGAATATACGGATGCGAAGGTCAGAAACTTCTATTTACTTTCATCCACACAATGACCGTACAGAATGCTTGTTTTTCAGATTAGTCAATTTTTCTTGATAGATTTTCAAAAAGTAATTATTGATAATGTAAATATTTTTTTGGAGACTATATACTAGCAGAATTGAAAATGAAAAATTTCTCAGTATTTACAGTATATACTTCGACTGTCATTCATTCATTCATTGTTTTCTTGAATTTAAAATTTTGTGCCTTCAAAAACACGTGATTATATTGTAATAATTTTTTTTCTTGTGTCACCTTATTATAACTGTGCACGTCTCTCATTCATGGAAAGAATGCGAGTTGTTATTATAGATACTATTGCGTTCGAGCGATGATGACGCATTCGTTTCGTTCGTTATCGTTGTTCTTTGACGCAGACTCGCATTTATTTGCACAAACATACTTAAAAATGAATGATAAAAATAATTTTTCGTTTAATAGCAAACAAAACACATTCGCATACATAACAACTTACCAAGCAACAAAAAAAAGCGTCTATCAACAAACAAAGAAAAAGAAACAATTTCTATTTAACTAAGAAGACGAACAATTTCTTTCTTGCAATTTTTCTGTCTTTTTTTACAATATTATTGAAATTTTTTAGACAAACTAACTAAAGAATGAAAATTTGCATTCACTTTCATTTATTGTATGATCATCGATCGATAAGCAGTATATGATTAATAATTATGTGTTTGTAAGACGAACGAAATAACAAATAAAGACAAGAAAGAAAGAAAGAAATACGGCAGAAAATGGTAGTCTTTTTTCTTTTTACTTTCGATGAGATTTTTATTAACTGAATGCAATGCACATGAAAAACATTTAATGCAGTCAGAGACAACTAAAAGAAAAAGAACAGCAACAATATTTTTAAATTTCATTTATGATTAAAATTTTCGTTTCTTTTTCTTTCCAACGAATAACGATCGATAATGCAATCACTTTGAAATTAAAAAAAGAAAGAACGAACGATCGAGATAAGAAGTCGTTAATGTATATTTATAGCAACCAGCCAAGAAACAACCAAAATACATTTAGAGGGTATGAGTATAGGATGTGGATGAAGAGAAGACTCACATCCGCATCTCTAGATGCAAATCAAAATTATATTCATTTGTATTTGTTCAATATATTTATTTTATTTTGTTTAAATAATTATCAATCATTTATCAATAGGAAAATTGACTGTGGCATGCCATTTGACTTTGTACGTAGTACGATTATGAGAAGATAATAGCTAGACTAAGATAAGCTTAAACACATACGTATTGATGATCTAACAGTAATGGAAAGTTATAGGACATTTTAACATTGACATGACCATGATCATCTTTTGAACTAGTCATAGTTGTACGAGTGCTATTCAGTATTTACATTAATTTTCATTTGTTCTATTTTAGCCAAAGAAAAAAAGAAACAACTATTTATAACTGAGTAACATTATTGATCAACTGCGTTGAATGTCTTAAATTCAGCAATCTAAAACACATCACTTGAATTAATATTACAAATGTAAAGTATTTGAATGAATTTTGCTGAGATTTAATCATACTCTTTGTAGATAATTGATTCACATTAAAACGGTTAAGATTATCGGACTGATATTTTATTAACATATTCTACTAAGTGTTCGTGTGAGAGTTCAACGAAAATGAACATATATCTTTTTCAACATAGTCAATTTTCAAATAGATATGGTAAACTACTAGTTTTCTCAAACAAAATATTGAAGTCAAAACTTTCTATGAAGATTTTTCGTGCTTCGATCGATGCTTAGACATATCCATAATATGAGATGGAATAGTGTCTAATATTTGAATGTATTTCATCATCAGTTATGAAAACGATTA